CGGTCTACTCCCGATCGACACCAAATTTCATGTCGCTGAGGGCAAGCGTTTTTTTTTTTTCCCTCGATGAATTTGCAGAGAATTACGAGGTTTCTCTTTGGCTGTCACGTCCGCGTCCACTACCGCTCGTATATTTGAACGCATCTGCCAAGTACGGTTTTGAGTTTTGGAGTCAGGAATTTCACTGGCTCAAGAATCACAATTGCGATATTTTGGAGAGTCTCAGCAGCATGTGCAGGGACACTCATAAAAATCTCAGAGGAAATGATCGGAAAAAACGGCAAAAATCCAAGCTTGGAACTTGCATTTGAATGCTTTCTAGGGATACGGCTCTTTCGGAAAAGTCATTTGGGGGCAACTTCTGAGTTATTATGACAGCTGGAGCTGGAAATGGCATTTAGTCGGAAGAACGGCAAGAATGAGGACCCTTCTTGTGCGAAACGCACGCGAGGTGCAACCCGACTGGAAATACATGTCACGGGTGCGCTTGAGTCACATTAATAAGCTCGCTGAACCGTTTCAAACAAAATACAGCCAAAGCACACTAAAAAAAGGGGAAAAGATTTTGCTTTTACAGAAGGACGTGCGCTATTAGATCGGCCCCGGTTGCTATTTCTTCCAGCTAGCTTGCTGCCTGTGGCCCATTAGCAGCTAACGATTACACACATAAGCGCACGCCAAAGACAGGCAGATATGATAATGAGCGCAACCAACAGTTGGGAACGGTTCCGCAATTAGCGCAGCCGGACGCGAACAAAAGCCTCCTCTTGTTTCACTGGTCGTTTGTAGTTATTTCGGGAGCACCCGAGCAGCAGGCCGGCGGCGGATACGAGGCCTAATAACGGGAGGCGTATCAGACATAATGGGCCGGTATTCACACAATGCCTGACACGCAAGCCAAACTAACAGCGCGCCTCGACGGCTTTGTGCCGTTTCAGCGGACTTGGCGATCGCTCGACATTTTTTGGAAAGCAAGCGGTATCATGACCAGGGTGTGATCGGAGCAAGATTGGACGATAACTTTTGGTTCGAGGAGGAGAAATATGAAGTGATTTTAATACCAGAGCGGCACGGTGGACGAGTGGTTAGCACGCCGGCCTCACAGTGCAGAGGTGTAGGGTTTGATTCCGGCGCCGGCCTTCCTGTGTGGAGTTTGCATGCTCTCCCTGTGCCTGCGCGGGTTTTTTCCGGGTATTCCGGTGTCCTCCCACATTCCAAAAACATACACCGTAGGTTCATGGGACACTCTAAATTTTCCCCAGGTGTGACTGTGACTGCGATTGGCTGTTCGTCGATGATTGGCTGGCGATCGGTTCGAGGTGTTTCCCCCGCCCGCCTACTGCCCAATTGCTTCAGGTGTGTTTTAAGTGGACGTGTCCCGGCAAACGTTAAACTTGCTTGACTTCCAAACTCCAGAGTTCAGAGTTTAAAAACAAACAAAAAAAGGCCTTTTGGACTTCAAGTCTTGAAGGATGAAAGAAGAACTCCTGCTGCCTTCACTGACCTGGTTAACGAAGCACGGGCGCAGAGCTTGTTTTGAGTCACGTGATGCCGTTTGTCAATTTGTGCCAAACATATCGACGGCAAAGCCAAATTTGTTCTGTTGGGGGATGTGGGGCCACCTGAAGCCCCCAATCGGTCAACGGCGTTTGGGTACGGACGGCAACCGGGTGACCGGTCAAGAGGCCCAGCTGCTCGGCCGCACGGCCCCGCCTTCGCCTTCGGCTATTAACCCTGCGCCCTGCTCGTTTTGTTTGTTTGTTTTCCTGCCTTTGTTTGCACTGCAGACTTCCCGTGTAAACTCAAAGAATCCCTTTGGAAAATAAAAGCTCAGTCAATTTGCAACAGCAGTTGAGCAACTAGTAGAATTATATTCAACGAGAAGACATTCACATAACATTCAAGCAGTGTGCCCAAAGCAATACATCAGGGTGTAAATTGCGAGTGCCATACGTTCGGCTGAATAATTTATTTCAAAACGCCCCATTTAAAAAAAAAAAAAAAAAAAAATCGGAATATCTCAATCAAAAGCGACAAAAACATTGTAATCGTGAAGTGAGCATCAAAATACCCCAAATCCTGCGCGACCATTCGTTCAAGTGACATAAAAATGGATCTCAGCCCAAAAAAGGGTGATTGTACCTAATAAAGTGTCCGCAGAGCATACTTTCCTCTCACTTTACAGAAAGTTACAACCTGCATCATTAAAATCAATCCCGTCGTGTCACCTTCAGCAGTCCGGCAGCTCGAGCGGAGCCAACGCAAACAGGCAAGGGCTCATTAAAAAAAAAAAAAAAGAAAAGCAGAGCAAACATTACGCGCCGAAGCAGCACGTTTGATTAAGAACACCCCAGCAAATATTCCATCCATCTCAGTTGTAACTACGGGCTGGCTTATGGTGTTAAATGGCCACCTGTCCAGATGGCGCAGGCACGGTCATCGGTCAAAAAGTCAAACAACGACTCGCGCAGTCGAGTGAAGGTGAATGATAAGCTCATAAAGGAGACGCTCTCATCTTGAAATGAACAAGGAAGGGCTTTTTGTAGGGCACATTTAAGATCCTAATCTTGTGAAATGGATTCAGACTGGATTGAAGTCATGAAGTACTGAGGTTTAGTTCAATAATGCTGGACATCCCTTTTTATTTATGATCGAAGATTGTGTAATGGATGCTGTCGGCGTCATAAATATGACATTTTGGAACTTTCGGGTCCGGACGGGTTTAACGTTCTCCTTTTAAGGGGCAACCATCACTCATGTGAAAGGATCGCTCGGCTTCAGTTGCTCTTTTGCCGTTCCCGATATGGAGTTTGAAGTTTTAAGATCAGTTTTTTTTTTTTTTTTTTAAATATCAAATGTACAGCGAATGTTCATAAGCGCGCACACTCACTGCCAGTGGCAAAGTGCTCCAAAGTGGTGCTCGCTGACAAGATAGACTTGCTCAAAAAAAAATAAAAAATAAAAATAAAACACACACACACACACACACACACACACATACAAATCACCACTCCTTGTATTCCATCACTCTCTGCATGATGTGCGCACTTGCGGCAACGAGGCACTCTAAAGTGGATTGTCCGAAGGAAAGATGCATTTTCGGGGTGTAGGTCTCGCTAGCTAGCTAGCAAACTACCCGCTCAAGCCCGCCCTTGCTGGTCGGTGATCTTTCTTGGTGAACCGAGCTTCATCATCATTATGTGGCGTTCGGTTGCTTTTACACGTACGAGAAGTCATTCCTGACCTGAAATTCGAATCGAAAAATGTGTCACTTGCATCAAATTGGGTGAATCCAGCTTTGTATGAAGGGGACACAAGTGTGGTTTAAATAACCTCGTGCAACTATGGAACTAACCTGTTCTTAGTTAAGACGCACTTGCAACAGTCCAGGGGATATGTCACTCACAGGGATGCAAGATGTAAAAGTCAAAGGGCATACAATGTAATCAATGCTTACATATTCGCTTTCAAAGACTTTTTTTTTTTCTCTTTTTTACGTCGGAAGTTCAAATGAAGATATGATGGTGTGGTTTGGGCATGTTGTCACTCCCAATGTCACGGGACAGCGTTTGAGCAAGGTCACATCAGGTCAGGGTCTGACTTTGAGATGACATGCTTTCGGCACACGGGTGCAAACAAGATCAATGTGCGTGTGATCATCTTTACTGTTGTGGTTTCATTTATGGAGTGTGGTGTGCTGGCTAAGGAGGGGATGGGGGGGGGTAACTCAATGGAAAACAAGCCTGGTGTAACACATTCGGACACTATGAGGATGATACGTTTAGAAAAAAGTTAAAAGTTTTTTTTTAGAATAGTATATATAAATAATCGATGCACCCTTGTTCAAATGACAGGTTTTTCTGATACAAAAATGAAACCGAGATAAAACATGAACAAAAACTTATTTCCACCATGAATATGTCCTGCGACCTGCACAAGTTGGAAAAAAAAAATTTCGAGAGGAGAAGTAAAAATAAACAAGTTGAACAATGGTGCTGCACAAATGTGCACACCCTCTTGAGAACTTCGGGTGTGGCTGGGTTAGAAATTCACCAGTTACATTCAAACTCATGATACAGTCAATGGGAGTCACCACACACCTGCCATCATTCCACGTGCCTCTGATTAAACCCAAATATGGTTTAGTTGTTCTAGTCAGCTTTTCCTGACAGTTAGTTCTATCTATCTATCTATCTATCTATCTATCTATCTATCTATCTATCTATCTATGTAGCTATCTAGCTAGCTATCCAGCTAGCTATCGTCCGTCGATAGCTAGCTAGCCAGCTAGCTATCCACTACTTTTCAGTTACATCTTTGATGAATGTCAAAATAAAAGTGCTCTGTAGAAAACCACAAATCTGAGACCATCCATCCACCCAACCCATCACTTCTTCAATTCTATCTTATATGTAAATTACACCAACAATTCCCTTTGATTCCCTCATTTTTTATTTTTAAAACTGGTTTGAAGCCCTTCTTTTATTCACTGGCTCGCAACACGAGACTCTATCCTTGTCAGAATTTGTAAAACATTTCTGTTAATGTTTTTCAGTATATTATTATATGTAATTTCAATCACTTTTATCTTCTTTTTCTTAGTTTGCCTTCTTTGGCTTTATTTGTGTTCAGCACTTTGTTCCAGCTGCAGTCGCGCTTGTAAAGTGCTCTGTAAAATAATTCAATTGTTCCGAGAGTAATCTAACTCTTTAGTTTGATATTGGCTAGAACTGTAATTAATTAAAAAAAATAAATAAATACAGGAAATTCCCAAATCTGAAACTATCCATCCATCATCGATTCTATCTTATGTGTAAATTGCACCAGCAATTCCCTTTAAATTCCCCATTGCTCTCATAGCAAACTGCCAGCAAATGTTTGGCTCCTTCTCTGTGGGACAGGGGGGATAGGTGTGCGTGTGGGTTGGCGGGGGGGATTAGTGGGGAGGGGGGCTGGTGCGGGCTGCTTTAAGCCAATGGGCGTGGAGCGGCTCTCGCGCACTCCGGCGCAGTAATGTCAACGTAAAGGAGCGCCGCACAAGCCCAGCCGAAGCGTGTGCCGCTCAAGTGTGGGCGATGTTGTGACAGCGCGCTCGGCCGTGGGGTTGGGGGGCGGGGGGGCTGCTCTCCAAATGAGCCACTTCTTTTTTCGGGAGCCTTCACCATTCACACGCCGATGAGACGCAGCCCGGATCGCTTTTCGGGACTATTGGCTTTGGATACTCGCGTTTGGCACCAGTCAAGGTGAGTGGAAGGAGACTCTTTTTGGCACTTATGACGCTCGTTGGAGGCAAGAAAACACATGCATCGTGTGTTTTTACGAGGTTCTAACTTTGAATGGTATACATGTCTTGCATTAAGAGGGACAGACGCATTGTTCCACCCAAACGTCAGCTCATTCATCGGTGCGCTTTTACGCACCGACATCGGGAGATTCGTGTCACTTTCCTTTGGTCTTCGGGGCTCGTTTGCACGAGGCTGGAAAAATAAGCACACCCAAAAAAAAAAAACAAAAACAAAACAACAAACAAAAAAAACAAACAAGCAGTCAGGGTGGTGTGGGAGTTTGGATGGACCCCCACCCACCAACACCCCGCTCACCCTCCCTCCCCTCCTCATTGGGAGCTCCAGATGTATGGACTCAGCTGTCGCCTGTCACTTGGGTGACAACTGCTCCGTCGCTGCCTGTGCGCCACTGCGTGTATGTCAAAAGGGCCAAGTGGAATTGTGTGAGGAGGAATGCATGCACGCACACACAAACACACACCCACACCCACACACACGCACGAGAAGTGACACTAAATAGGAAGTCACTCTCTGGAAATGTGTGTGGAGAAGTGCCTGGTCGGAGACACGCAAATGATTTTAAAAAGTGTTTTTCTTAATGGTAGTTGTGGTTTTTCGGGGGGGGGGGGCGGGGTAGAACTGTGTCCTGCATGATACTGAAGGCCGTTTCTAACATTTTGGTTAACTTATTGAATATAATTGAGCATAACCTGCATACTGTACAGATATACACAGAACACAGAACAATGTAAAAGACATGTTTTAACTCTTGGATGATTTTGGCCTGGTCGTTCATGACGTACATAGATGAAGTCCAAAAGAAAAAAAAAAGTTAAAAATGTCGATGTAAAATATGTCAAATAGGCCTCGTTTCTTTTACTGGGGAGAAAAAACTGCTCTTAAACCAGAAACCAATATTCCTTAAAACAGAAATATTCTAAAAAAATGAAAACAAATATGTCATAAAACAAAACAAAAAAACATATTTGAAAAAGAGAATCTAAAAACAAATGTGTCCCAAAAATAAATTGCAAAAATTAATTGCTTGAAACGGATTTTGTTTATGTAATTTTTATAAGATTATAAATAGAACCTTTGGAAGGGTGACGTAAATGATCTGCGCCGTGGGCCAGAAGAAAGAATGGTGTGGTCATATTTGGACCCCCGGCCATACTTTGGCCACCTGTTACGGGATTGAAACAATAATAATAATTTAAAAAACAGAGCTAAGTAAATAATTTAGGTGCAATGGGTAGGCATTGAGACATGTTTGTAATTTTATATGGTCGTCACTAATGTGTTTGCTTGATCTACTAACTTTACTACAATGTTTGATGCTTCCAACGTCGGTAAAATCACATGATTCCTTTTTATTTATCAATTATAACTTCCTTTATGACGTTCATGACCCGCCTTTGCTGATTGGCTGGACAAAATCATGTGACTCCACCGACCAAACATGGTCTCACTTCCGTCTTAGCGGGCCAAAATGTTGGCGACGCGGTGCAGTTTCACAATCGAATCGTATGAGAGCGGCAAACCTCATTAAAAGTCTCGCAACATACCAAAAGTCAGCCAGGCCGTGTTGCGATGGTCACAGGTGATGATGTCACCCAAACCAAGGCACTTTTGAGTTGAGAGAGGTATTTGTTTTGGACACGCTGTCGTGGGGGTTATCTGAGGTATTGCGCATTGGAAGCGGTCTTAATAAGTGGAGCAATGTGATGAATGCAGTGGGCCGATATATCTCAATCACAATGTGATTGTTGGCAGTTCTTATGAGACTTTTTTGTTTCGTTTTGACACGATCCAGTATTTGAATGGGCGAGAGAGACCGACAAACTCGGGAGTGAGCACACGACCAAGGTGATGGTGTCACCTAGTGGTCACATGGGAGGTTGCTCCAAATACACATTGAACTATTTCTTCCCCCACCCCAACAAAGACGTAGCCTGTATTTCACGCCTCAACTACCAATTCTGCACGCACTCAACTTCAAGCTGTTTTCCCAAATTAGAACGACTGTGGCTGTAGATATTGTTCAAGATATTTATAAACCTAAAAGTAACCCCGACGGAATTACAGGGACCAAAAATAGAAACAAAGTGACTTACGGTTGGTGTGAAAGTTTCACTCAAATATTTCTTAACTGTCAAACAAGTTTAAAAATAGGTTAACCGCTGTTGGCAGTAAAACAAATGAGGAGGGGGCGGGGGGGGCAGTTGACCATCTATGTATACTATGTGTAAATTCCACAAATCTCTTTAGATACCCCAATGATGTCAAGAATACAACAAATCACCAGCCTCATGTTGTCATACTCTAATAAAAAAAAAAACACACTCACATTTGTTTTATGTTTAAGCTTTCCATTTAGTTTAAAATTGTTGCTCGCAACTCCCGACAAAGAAAAAAAAAACAAAACAAAACAGCTGAGCAACAACTTGCATTTTGACAAACTTGTAAGTTGAGGTATCGCTGTGTGCAGGTTCATCAGATGACAGCACAATGGTGCAGTGATGCTTCGGAGCCCCGTGGAATAAATATTTAGCACGTTCAGCTAAGTTGTGGCAGCGTTTCATACAGGGGCAAAGCTGTGAGCTCTGCTTTTCGTCGCAGCACCTTGTAAGGCGGCATCCACGTCTGC